TGTCGCCCAGACTGGAGTGCAGTGGCATGCTCCCGGCCACCGCAGCCTCAATCTGCTGGGCTCCGGTGATCCTTCTGCCTCAGACTTCCAAGTAGTTGGAACTAAAGACATGTGCTACCGCACCCAGCTAAGTTTTTTTCTGATGTACTGTAGAGACGAGGTCTCGCCAAGTGCCCGGACTCAGGCAATCCACTCGCCTTGGCCTCCCAAAGGCCTCAGTCTCCCAAAGACCTTGGCCTCCCAAAGTGCTGGGATCACAGGCTGAGCCACCGAACCTGGTCAATTTGTAGTTCTTATCTAAGGAACTTTGGGAACCAGAGAAGGAGATGTTTTGATGAGATAAGAGGGAGGAAAACTCCAGGTGTGCTGATATGTAGCTGAAGTCCTATATGTGGCCAACCTCAGAAAGGATAGATAAGTGTCTTACGAGGCTCCTCAGATCTGGGAGTCCCCAAGAGATGGTTTTGCAGGGCCATAAAATACCTTGATTTTCTTCTTTATTTGTTATGTGATGTTATGCCAGAGTCAGGCTGGAAACAAGCTTTAGCATATGGGGTATTAGGGTAATAAAGCCCTGTCTGATGAGTCCTTACAGGCATGACTCCCCAAGACTCTTAGGAACATGAATAAGCGAAAAAGGCCAGATTTAGTCTTCCTGTTTATCCAAGTATTGTCAGGGCCTAGCATGGTGTGCAGGTGATTTAATATTGTTGTTTTCAAAAATAATCCATACTCATGATTATAACACACTGTATTTTATTATTATCAGATATTGCCGGGATGCCTTTGCAGTCCTGTGGCTCTGGGTAAATTAGGTTGTGTGAACTGGAAGGAACCCCTCCCCGTGCCCCGGGCCTCAGTTTCCCCACTGTAGACGGCAGGTGCGAGGCCCCATCCCCATTGCCGCCATAAGGCTGAGCGGAAAAGGCCCGGAACTCCAGGAGGAGGTCTGGGAAGCGAGCCGGGTTCTCCCAGGCCCGACCGCCCAGCGCCCCCTACCGGCCGGCTGCATCTGGCCGCCCTACCGCCCCGTCGTGTGCTACACCCACAGCAGCCCCCCGGTTCCCTTCCGGCGGCCGCCATTTCTCAATCCCATCCCGATCCCGATGAGATTCCGGGCTTACCCCAACCAAACCGTAGATCGCCCACCCTGGACACCGCTCGCATGGGCGGCGGCTCTGTTCCCGTGCGGCCGAACAGCACGGCCCACACCCAACTGCCGCGCGGAACCAATGAGAAGACCCGGTTTCCAGCCGTCTGCGGAGAAAAGGTCACTTCCGGAGGCTGGGGCGGACGTGCTGAGGTGTTCGGGACGCGTGCTGAGGTGTTCGGGACCCGGAGGCATCCCCCCCCCGGCCTGTGAGTTCAGCGCAGGGCTGGGCAGGCTGCGGAGCCGGGGGCTCCGGGACAGGGAGTCCGGGGTCCTCGGAGGCGGCCGGCCGAGGTGCTACACGCCGTCCTCTGGTGTCCCGCCCGAGGGACCTTGCACGGGGCCAGGATGGGGAAGACGACGGTCCCGACCTCCAAGCGCGCCCCGAGCAACCCCACGGCGCAGCCGGTGCTTGTCAAGAAGCTCACTCGGAAGAAAAACAAGAAGAAAAAACGGTTCTGGAAAAACGGCCCGCAGGAAGTGGGCAAGAAGCCGGGAAGCCACCCCAGGAATGTTGCGGTGCGACCTCCGAAGGTTCCAGAAGACTTTTCTCAAAACTGGAAGGCGCTGCAGGAGGTGAGGCTCGGGGGAGCCCGGAGGAGGCCCGCGGGGTGCAACCAAGGGAGAGGCTTGGGCGGCCCCAGCTTTGAATGAAATCCTTGAAAACTGCCGTTCACGGGAAAAGTGGCCCATCGGGGGAGATAGTGAACTTGGGGGCAAGCAAGTGGCAGACCGTTGATGGAGAGGGTTGTAGCAATACTTGGAGCTTTTGAGCAGGTAACACTTGATAACAGCTACCCTGCCCCCAGTTATTGAGCTCTTAAGATGTGCATTCTGCCATGTGCTCTAAAACGTGTTCTTTTGTCATCTCCATAACAACCCCGTAAGGTAGGTTCTTTTAGCATCCCTGTATTATAGGTGAGAAAATAGGTCCACACAGGTTAACGATTTTATTATCTAAGGTTGCAATTGGGAACCAGGACTCAAACCCAGGCAGGTTGGCCAGGTGTGGTAACAGCACTTTGGGAGGTTGAAGTGGGAGGATCACTTGAGACCAGGAGTTTGAGACCAGCCTAGGCAACATGGCGAGACCCTGTCTCTACAAAAAACTCAAGTTAATCTAGTGGGATGGTGCGCATCTGTAGTCCCAGCTACTCAGGAGACTGAGGTGGGAGGATCGCTTGAGACTAGCAGTTCAAGGTTGCAGTGAGCTATCGTGATGCTGCTGCACTCCAGCCTGGGCAACAGAACAAGAGCAAGACCTTGTCTCTAGGAAAGGAAAGAAAAAATCCAGGCTGATTGAACCTGAGTCTATGCTCTTTACGCTGTGCTGTGCCTTCTGCCTTTCCAGGTGGTGGTGGCTGGCGCTTCTATAGAGGTTGTTCAGTTGTTCTGTGTCAGACACTCTTCCAAGCTGCTGTTACTACCCTTGTTCTCTTTTTTTTTTGAGTCAAAATCTCACTCTGTCACCCAGGCTGGAGTGCAGTGGCACGATCACAGCCACCACAGCTTCAACCTCCTGGTCTCAGGTGATCCTTCTGCTTCAGCCTTCCAAGTGCCAGCTAATTTTTGATCTGTTGTAGAGACGAGATCTCACCAAGTTGCCCAGGTTGGTCTTGAACCCCCTGGATTCAGGCAGCCCTCTTGTCCCCGCCGCCTCCCAAAGTGCTGGAATTACAGGCACTGTAAATGCCTTTTTTACATTTTTTTGAGACAGGGTTTTACCCTGTTGCCTAGGGTGGAGTGCTGTGTTGCAAGCCTGGCTCACTGCAACCTCGACCTCCTGGACTCAAGTGATTCTTCTGCCTCAACCTCCCAAGTAGCTGGGATTACAGCTGTGCACCACACCAGGCTAATTTTTTGATTTTTTTGTAGAGATGTGGCTTCACTATGTTTCTCAGGCTGGTCTCGAACTTTTGGGCTCAGACAATCCTTTTGCCTTGACCTCCCAAAGTGCTGGAATTACTGGCATGAGCTACTGCTTGCAGCCTAAAAGAAACTTTTCATTTATCATAGTCTTCGGTCTTCCTCAGACCCTCGTAGCAACAGCAAACCTAGAAATCTTAAAGGAACTGGTACACCAAGGTGCTGGCCAAGGTCGTGAGGGAAGTAACTCTAAAATGAACTCTACATTGCCTTAAAAAGTGAAGACAGGCTGCCTGTCCTCCCCTTAGACTGACAATGGAGTGGTATGTGGTGTTCACTGACTCCACAGGTACTTAAGATGTAGAATGTGAGCTTCAAATGTTGCAGGCAGGAAGGAGCAGATGTAAAGTTGTGCAGTAGAGTAAGGTAAGCAGAGAGACAGCATTTCACCACCAGTGATTTACGGGTGAGAACAAGGAAGGGCTTTTTCAGAAGTATTTGAAAATGAATTTCAGTGATGCTGGCACAGAGTGTCCAGATGTGATTGGTGTACTTATGTATCTGTACATGTGTACACAAGTTTTTTCAGTTTGTTGTGTGTCAAATTAAAATGTAGCATTGTTTTATTTTGGGTCCCATTAGCTGCTGAAACAAAAACCGCAGGCCCCAGAAAAGCCTCTTATCTCTCAGATGGGTTTCGAAAAGCAGTCCGAAAGTATCCAGCCAAACAGAAAAGAGATCTCAGGTAAAGCAAAGGGACATGCGGTGCCGACAGAGAAAGACCAGAAGGCCACCAGGGACTGTGTTCCTTCAGGATCTAAGCTGGACAGGACCATGCCAGTGCCTCCCACAAAGTCAAGTGGAGCAGAGCTCAGTGAGAAAACCAAGAAAAGGACAAATGGTGACATTTCTCCAAAACGAGGGGACATCAAACATAAGAAGCGGAAAGCCAAGGACCTGGCCCCGGCCCCACCCACTAAGTGAGTACTGGTAGTCTCTGCCTGAGTCTCAGCTGTGGTGATTGACACGGGCTCATCTGCCATCCCACCTCTGTCTTCCTCCCACAGAGAGTTGAGGCCCTGCATCTCTACTTACTAAGGCCTGTCTCCTCACAGATGTCGAGTGTCGAGTGGCCTCACAAGTTTCTCCGTCACCTTACCCTGGTGTTTTGTGTTTGTTTACTTGCTTATGACTTGTTTTTCCCAGAAGGTAGGCTTAATAAGATGAGCTTGTTTCATAATCACTGCTGTGTCTTTGGGCCTCGCACAGAACTCGGCACTCAGTAAAAGTATGAATGAATGACTACCAAAGCCAGGGAGACCTGCATGAGAGACCTGTCCCTGCCTCTTGCCAGTTGGGTGACTCAGGCAACTTCCTGACATCCCTGCACCTCACTGTAGTCATCTGTGGTGTCATGAGGAGATTGTGAGATGTGGCATGCTTGACTCAGTGCTTGGTGATGACATAATAAACACTATGCTGGTCACTTGCTGGGGCGGACCAGGAGTCAGCGGCCATCCAGAATGGCTCAGCTGGAGATGGCATATTTGTAAGTCTCAGGCTGACTTCGTGTCGCCTGGGTATTGAGGACACCGCTACTGAAGGAATGAATGGTTTGAGGGCCGCCTGTGTGTTGCACCAGGCAAGCCGGGACAGTGTTCGGCCAGGCAGGCCCGGCTCCTCCTGAGGCTTAGTGTCAAGTAGCGGAGACAGTGATCAGCAGTTAGCTGGAGTAATTGAGCAGATGTGGTCAGGACCTGCCCAGTGAGGAGGTTATGGGAGCATGTGGCCAGAGGAGCAAGTCCGTCAGTGCGGTCGGGAAGAAAATAACGAACCTGTTACTTTTATAATTAAACAGAAAACGCCAGCAGTCATTACACCTGAGAGGCAGGTCATATGTTTCTGTTTTATAGTTTTCGTGTTTATCTGTAGTTCTTAAATCTTGGGTAATGAGTGTATTTTCTCATTAAAAAGAAAAGTGAGGGGAGGAGAGTGCCCAGGTGGTCAGAGCAGCAGCTGGGGTACCTGGAACCCAATGGCAAGAGGAGCCTACACTGTCACCCTCTGCGACACCACTCCCCCCTCGCCCCCCCATGATCAACCTGCACAGTCAGCACCATACAGCCCCACCTGACTGCTGGACAGGGCTTCCTGGTAGGCAACCTGTTCTTTGTCTTTTAGGGAAGACATCTGGTTTGATGGTGTGGACCCAGCGGATATCGAAGCTGCCATAGGCCCAGAGGCAGCCCAGATAGCAAGGAAACAGCTGGGTCAGAGTGAAAGCAGCATCACCCTTGTGAAGGAGCAGGCCTTCAGTGGGTACGTGGGGCCAGTGGGAGGCACTGGAGATGCCTGGCCCCAGGGGCTGGGGGCTCTTCAAGGGAGAAGGCACACTCCTCCAGTCGAGAGGGCGAGCTCCTCCCAGGATCTGCCAGGCAGGAACCATGACCACAGAGCTTGTCACATGGTTGCCACGTAGTAGGGCAGGAAGCGTTTCTGTGCCCACACTGGGCTTGTGGGCCCTTTGGGGTCTGACCTGGAGTCCTGGGTCCTGCGGCATACACTGACCTGGAGTCCTTGGCTCCCCTTTAGCCTGACAAAAGCTTTGGCCATGGACTGTGAGATGGTGGGCGTGGGCCCCATGGGGGAGGAGAGCATCGCCGCCCGCGTGTCCATCGTGAACCAGTATGGGAAGTGTGTCTACGATAAGTATGTCAAGCCCACTGAGCCCGTGACAGACTACAGGACGGCGGTCAGCGGGATCCGGCCCGAGAACCTCAGGCAGGGTAGGTTGTCCTGGCATGGGGACAGAAGGGCAGGTGCTAGCTGGGTTCGTTCTCCCTGTGTTTCCTTTTGGCTCGGGAACTCTGTAGCAAGTCCTGGAACATCTGCCTTCCCGGGACGATGGGCCTTGAAGTGCACATGGGCCTGCCCACGTCCTATGCTTCAGTGCCTCTTAGCCACCGGCCTGAGGACCAGGGCAGGGCTCCTGAGTTGCTGTGCACAGTGTGGTAGGAGGGGCCAAGAAGGAGTGTGTCGGGGACCAGGAAGAAGGCCAGTGGTGAGGGGCGGGTTACGAGAAGGAAGGCTGTGGGATGGGGGACCTTGGGAATCCCTAGGAAAGCTGTGAGCAGCGAGAGGCCTGATCCAACTTAGGTTCCAGCAAGTTCCCTCTGTCTGTGATACTGAGAACGGACTGCAGGGGGTCCGGAGGATGCAACAGCCTGGTGGGAGGCAAGAACTGGTGGTGACCAGGGTCAGGAAGCATAAGAAGTGACCAGAAGTGATGTCACCCAGATGCAGCGGGAGGCTGAGTCCATGGGTAATGGGAGAGGCATCCAGGGTGGCCCAGGGCTTGGAACCTGGAGGGATGCTGGAAGACTCTTGGGGTCCAGGCCTCGTGACCTCATTTTCCTGCAGCCCTCTGTTCTCTCTGCACACACTGCCTGTCTCTGCATTACTGTGCACAGAGCCATCAAGGCGGCCCTCCCTTCTTGAGCAGCAGGCTGACCAACATCTCTTGGCTGCAGTTCTTGGGGGGAAGGCTGGTCATGCTGGGGTCCAGCCACTCTTGGTCTGATCAACTCTGGCTGGGGAGGGGCAAAGTCACTGGGCAAAAGCATGGTTGCTGGAACCCCTCCCTGTGGTTTCGGGTGTGGGAGTGGCTCCCATGAGTGGAGTCAGGGGCGAAATGGTTCCCAGAGCATATCCAGAAGCAGACAGGACTGCCTCAGGGCCCAGGGTCTAGTGGGAGTTAGTCTCAGTTGGAAAGTCGTAAAGTTCAAGCCCTGATTTTTTATTGTGAGATGGAATAGTGAAAGGGACTTCTCTGCCACATGGCTCTGTGAGTTTCTAAATACTTCCTCTCAGCTTGTGCCCTCCTCTGAGCCCTGACTAGAGTTGGCAGACTGTATAGAGCACTGTCTTTCCTCCTTTCCCCAGAGGCAGAAGGTGGGTGGGTGGGTGTGATCGTCTGACCAGGGGTGGGAGGGGGCCTCGCTCTCAGAGAATGGTGGTGATTTATGTGCTGCTGGAAACCTTTGCTTTGATTTCTCAGGAGAAGAACTTGAAGTTGTTCAGAAGGAAGTAGCAGAGATGCTGAAGGGCAGAGTTCTAGTTGGGCACGCTCTACACAACGACCTGAAGGTGCGGGCTTTGGGCCTCCTGGGAACTTGGGTCCCACTGGCTTTTCCATGCATGTTGCAGGCACGCCCTCATGTTGTCTGCCTGCAGGAGCATCATCCGTGGGATTTTTTGCTTTTGTTTTTTTGAGTTGGGGTCTGACTCTGTCACCCAGACTAGAGTGCAGTGGTATGATCATGATCACAGCTCCCCACAGCCTCAATCTCCTGGGCTCAGGTGATCCTCCTGCTTGAGTCTCCTGAGCAGCAGAAGTTTTTGAATTTGTGCTCTGTGTTGGGAGTACTCGAGTAATAATACCAAGTACCACTTACGGGTTCTTACAGTGTCCTAGGAGCCATGCTAGACAAGGCATTTGTTCTGAGAGTCCCCAGCTGAACCGGTTCTGGGACCAGAGCAGCTGGGAACCCTGCCCTAACAAAAATGAGGTCCCATGAACCTCTCGTGGGATGTTTCTTTCACCTGCGGACGGCCGAATGCCTGCTTGTGCCACCTATGACCGAGGCCCCTCACATGGGAAACCTGTTTGTACTGGCAGGTGCCCTTGTGGCTCGTGTCTGGCATGTCTGACCCTTGCTTATGCCTGCCTGACCCTTGCTGTGGCGATGAGAGCCTGTCCTTGTGTGCAAAGCCAGACCCGTTGCCGTGCCCCTTCCCTCCGATCTAGTGCCTTCTGCAGAAGCAAAGCCCCGCCTCTTCCTCTTCAGTCACTGCCTCGCTAGGCAGGGAGCTGGGCAGGGTGGCCGTTCGAGGCTTGATTCGCCTCCTCCTCACTTCCACATTGGCCGGCTCAACAGGCAGCTGGGTGAGCTCAGGTTCACCTCCAGCCCCCCAGAGGGCATGGCCTCCAGCTGTGCTCCTGCAGGGTCTCTGCTGATTTGAACTGCCTGGGAAGACGGGGAGCTTGTTCTGACAAAAAGTCATCTCGTGTTGTGTCACACTCAGACTGCCACCGTAGTCACGTGTCCTTTCCTCCTCACTCTAGCTCCATTCCTGGGACCAAGCAGACTTGCGTTTAAGTCTCTCCTGAAGATGAGAGGTTATGTTAAGGTTGCAAGATGCGCTCTTAAACTCTTTTTTCATTTCTAACTTCCCAATTTGGGGAACCAACTCAAAGCACAGGAATAGGTTGGTTGCCTGTTAACTGATGACTGTTTTCGAGATTTTATTTTTATCAGTGTAGCTCCAGCATTGGGCATCACCTTCAGTTAGTGTGATAAAATTCTTTCAGAAGCTCAGATTCTTCGGTGCTTTTTTTCCCCATGTGCATATGCATGTGTGTATGCACACATGTGTGCATGCGTGTGTGTGTTATTTACTGGGATTCCTGTAAGGTGTTATCTGGAAAAGGGGTTTCCACTGTGACAAACTAAAAATAAAAATGATTGTCATATTTTCTTCTAGGTGCTGTTTCTTGATCATCCAAAAAAGAATATTCGGGACACACAGAAATATAAACCTTTCAAGAGTCAGGTGAAGGTACTTAAAATGAGTGTGACTCACGACCTCATATTTCTGTTTTGCTGGTCTACCTCATTGCTGGTTCTGGTCTCCAGTAGCTGACTTGTTGGTTAAGAGTTTTTGTTTTACTTTTCATTTTAACCTTTAAAACGAGAATGGCCATGCTCAGTTGCTCAGCCTGTAATCCCATGCCTTGGGAGGCTGAGGTGAGCGGATTGCCTGAGCCCACGGGTTCGAGACCCGCTTGGGAAACTTGGTGAGACCTCATCTCTACAATAAATCAAAAAAAAAAAATTACCCGGGTGTGGTAGCGCACGCCTGAAGTTTCAGCTACTCAGAAGGCTGAGGCGGAAGGATCGCCGGAGCCCAGCAGGTCGAGGCTGCGGGGGCCGGGAGCGACCACTGCACTCCAGTCTGGGCGACAGAGTGAGACTCCAACTCAAAAAAAAAAAAAAAAGATGGCTCTGATGGAGGGAAAGTAATTCCTCTCTGATAGGGTCGCCGATAAAGGGTGTGATGCCACTGTCATATCTGCTCCAGAGGGTGCAGAGAGCAGAGGGCAAGAGACGGGATGCCTCTTCCCTGGCCCTCCTCTATTGGCTGATGGCTGCAGCCTCGAGTCTGTGAGCATTTCCAGTGAATGGCAAACTGTAGGTCTTGGGTTGGGCTCAGTGGTCAGTGCCTCCCTGCCTGGTTGGAGCGCCCCCTCCCAGGCAGGGCCTCCCCGGGCCAGGGTCTGCAGCGGCCCCTGGCCCAGCATGCTGTCTCTTCTCTGCAGAGTGGAAGACCATCTTTGAAGCTACTTTCGGAGAAAATCCTGGGGATCAGGGTCCAGCAGGCAGAGCACTGTTCGGTAAGAGTGTCCTTGGGCGGCAGTCCTTGGGGTATGTGCGTCCTTGGGATTTGGGGGGCAGTCCCTGACCTGGAAACCCAGACGCGTGTCACCTGACGCAGACACGGGTGAGGTGGGGCCTGGGCACTTTCTTTGTTAGGAGGCCAAAAAGAATGAAATGGCAGAGCAGGCTTACAAATGTTGATTCAATTCTGAATATTTATATTTAAAGCAAATCTTCATAAAACTACCACATTGGAATTATCTGGAGAAAAAGTTGCCATTCTAAGTTGGGACTGTGTGGTCCGGGCTCGCTTGCCTCCCTCGGCCCTCCTGATCGACTCTGCTGACCAGGCTGGCTCTGCCTTCTGCAGCCACCCCCCCATAGATATCATAGTGTGACTCAGCACTCCAGGCCCTTTTGCCTGTCTGCTTGACCCTTGTGCCCCTGCCCCAAGCTCCCGACCCGCCGTCATTCTGTCTCTGTCAAAGTTGGACGTCTGATGAACCTTAGATACCATGGGTGTCACTTTGCTTCTTGGGGGTTCCTTTTCTCCTGTAAGCAGGAGGATCTGGGTCACAGAAATGTAGTGCACTGCCTGCTTCTTGTGCCCTCCCTCATCCCCTTGCTGGCATCTCATGGCAAGGTCCACATCTTTTTTTTTTTGAGTTGGAGTCTCACTCTGTCGCCCAGACTGGAGAGCAGTGGCCGCTCCCGGCCACCGCAGCCTCGACCTGCTGGGCTCTGGCAATCCTTCCGCCTCAGCCTTCCAAGTAGCTGGGAACTACAGGCGCGTGCTACCACACCCGGCTAATTTTTTATTTACTGTAGAGATGAAGTCTCGTCAAGTTGCCCAGGCGAGTCTCGAACCCGCAGGCTCAGGCAGTCCATTCACCTCGGCCTCCCAAAGTGCTGGGATTACAGGCTGAGCCACCAAGCCCAGCCAAGGTCCACATCTTACTTGGCTCAGCGCCCCTAGCACAGTGGCTGGCGTGAAGGCCTGAGCATTTGTGGGGTTGGCGCTGGCCCGTGGTGATGCTCTGTCACCCTCTGAGACAGTCAGTGTTGTTCTGTGTCATCTAGATTCAGGATGCCCAGGCAGCGATGAGACTGTACGTCCTGGTGAAGAAAGAGTGGGAGAGTATGGCCCGAGACAGGCGCCTCCCGGTGGCCACTCCGAACAACAACAGCGATGATGCCTAGCAGCCCTGCGGCTGGTGCTGCCCCTCCTGCCGTTCTGTGGTGGTGGTGCCTGTGGTGCCTCGGCCCAGGGGCAGTGTGACTGCACCACATGGACAGATCAGGTCTCCCCAAAGCGGCAACTGTGGTGAAACATTTTCAAAATCATGGCAGCAGAGGCGTGGCGTGCACATTACTGCGTACCTTGTCCCACTCTGCGTTGGAGCCCTGGTCACACCATAATGTATTTGGGGGCAGGATGGACAGGGGTGGGGCAGGGGAAGAAGTCAGAGTTGTATATCCTGGGCACAGCCAGGGTGTGGGCCACAGGGACCGCTGGGGCCTGCCCCGTGGCTGCTGTTTGCCAAACATGAGTGGGGATGGGGTATTGGGGCTCTCAGCCTACACTGACTGCACTGTCCCCCCACCCATCTGATGGGCTTGGACGGGACTTCCCCTGGTCCAGGGGCAGAAAGCACTCTGGGTGCTCAGCGCCTGCCTCTGCAGAGGCCACTTTCCCTCTCGTTGCCTTGGATGATGTAACACCCAAGGATTTGAGGGACCCAGACTGGGTGTCTGCCGTCAGCTACTGAGATGTGACTGGCCAGCACTGCGGTTGTCTCATCTGGAGCAAGGCTCTCTGGGAATGGGCATCCTTTCTCCTGGTTGTCTGACTTGGCCCAGGCTGGGCTGGTGGGTTGGCCCCTCAGAAGCTTCTCCCATACACGGGAATGAGGTCTTAGTTGCCTGGGCACAGTGACTCGGTTACTCCTGGAGGCTGCTGACATGCCGGCCTTGGGCTGTAGAAGCTAGAAGGAGCTGCATGACTTCTCATGGGCTAGCCTGTGGCTTTTTGGCCAGACTGTGTTTTGAGGATCTTTCTGGGAAGTGGAGTCAAGAGTGGCTAGGGCTAGTTGCACTGACAAGCGAATAAAGCCTCAGGCTTTATGGAGCCTTCTGATAGCTGTACAAAAAAGGTACAGATGCACTGAAGGTGTTACTATTTAAGATAAAAGCACATGTTGGCTTTGAATGGAGCCTGTGGAGGTTCAGTGTCTTCTCTTACTTAGAAAAGTCTGGAACTACTGTGTTCAGGGTGCTGCCTGGCCCCACAAGGACGAGGTTTCTACAGGCTACAGAATTAAGTGCCCCTGCTGGCCAGTCATGGCCCACCTCAGAAACAACTAAGGCACAGAGGAACTTGGGCCTTTTTATTGGTCACCTGGGGAGAGTGAGATGCATGCTGGTCCCAGGTGACCATTCTTCCTCTTCCCCCCATCCACCCCCCTGAGGAAAACATTCCTCCATGTACTGGGCAGCTCTGCTGTGGCAAAGAAAGGGGTGGGGAGGGGGCGCATGGGGGCAGGGAGGCCTCAGGGTGTCTGTGTCCTCCCCAGCTTCAACCCAGCGGCTTTCTGTCTCGGGCTGGGAGGTATGGCCGCCTCCAGCCTCAGGAGCACTTTTTCCGCATAAGAAACCAGCTCCTGGAAGGAAGAAGCAAGCAGGTCGGTTTTCACAGACACTTGCAGGGTCCAGGAGCATTTATCTGCGTGGCTTCATCCCTGGTCATGGACAGGAATCTTCTTACAAGGGTCTGCTTGCCCCTCTCCTTTAGGGTTGGCTTGGGCCCAGTCATAGAGGTGGGATACTAAGCAGACAGGACAGCAATCACTAGAAACTTGTGTGTGGAGACCCAGCTCATTTTCATGTCGACATTGGACTCCATGCTCTGGACTCCTGCCAGGGCCGGGGCTTCGGCCTGATGGGAGTCCTGGCTTTCTGGAGGTGCTGCCTCACTCACCAGGCTGGAGGTGAAGCGCTCCTTGACCTCTCGGACCAGGTCCCCGATGCTGCTAGATACCAGCTCCGGCAGGATCTCCCCTGTAAGGGAGCAGGGAAGATCCTGAGGCCAGGGCCCCTCACCAGGAGCCCCAGCAGAGCGGGATGGGTCCCTGTCCCACCCAGGCTTGGCGTGAACAGAGTGCCAAGTACATCTTCTGGGGCCCAGGCATCACCTCAGCCAGGACAGTGCCCAGTGTGTGGTGGGCACTCGAGACGCTGAATGAATGGGAAGTTCCAGAGGGTAGTTGAGGGTGTGTCCTGTGGGTTCCTTCCCTTTCCCTGTCAGTGGGGAGCAGGGGACCCTTAAAACCCTGGCTTAAGTAGGGACAGGAAGCGGGGTTCTCACTGTAGGAAACCAGGTGGGCCAGCAGCATGCAGAAATTCTCCACCACCTCCGGGTCGTCCCTGTGGACCTGGTAGGTCTCCTTGATGAGGCTCAGGCCACTGACACCATCCTCCTGCACTGCCATCTGGAAAGCCACCAGCTCTGGGGGCGGGGGGCGAGAGTGGGCTCGTACCCTGGGTCCTCTGAAAGAGAAACACCTCCTGCCCAGAAAGAAGGATCACTCCTCTCTAGACCAGCCCACCCAGAGCAGGAGGCGGGCCTGGCCAGCTTCGCTTCCCATCCAGGCCCACCCACCCTGGGACAGGTGGGATGAGACCTCAGGGGGCCTGCCATATGGTGCTGAGCTCAGGGATCCCAGGGGCAGAACAAGAAGCGACAGGAGCCCCCATTAGCTTGGGCACCAGCAGACTGGCATAGCCTGAATAGGACCAGGTAAGAGCGGGGGTTGGGGGTCATCACAGCTCTGAGGAAGGCTGTGTAGTGCTGGGGTCAAGAGTTACCCAAGGACAGGAGCCTTAAAACTTGCATCAGCTGGGAACCTTGGCCAGTCGCCTGCTTCAAGTGTTCTTGGGGAAGGATTATTGGCCATGTGTTCTTAGCATGGGCCTTGCCTGTCAAACTGAGTATCAGTCAGGGTTCGTGTTGTGGGATTTGGAGACAGACCCATCTGAGGGCTTTTTTTTTTTCTTTTTAAAGAAGGTCTTGCTCCATCACTCATACTGGAGTCCAGTGGCATGCTTACAGCTCACTGCAGCCTCAAACTCCTGGGCTCAAGTGATCCTCTCGCCTTAGCCTCCCAAGGAGCTAGGACTACGGGCATATGCCATCACGCCCAGCTAATTTTTTTTTTTTCTAATTTTTTTGTCAAGAGGAGGTATTGCTGTGTTGCCCAGGCTAGCCTTGAACTCTTGGGCACAAGCAGTTCTCCCACCTCAGCCTCCCAAAGTGCTGGGATTACAGGCGTGAGCCACCACATCTGGTCTTAGGGCTGTTTTAGTAAGTAAAGCATTGTCTGTTCTGAGAAACCTGTGCAAATGCAGAACGTGTTTATGGGCAGAGGGGTGGTCACAACGGCAGTGTTAAGCAAAAAGTTTATCAAATGTACATGGAAGTCACAATGGCAGCTTCCGGCTGGTGGGAGTCTGGTTCACCTTGAATTTCTTTGCTTTTTGCCATTTGACTTGTTTTTTTGGTCTGTGGCAGCTGGCAGAACATTACCTATGGAGTCGATGTTGCCCCCACCCTGGGTGGCAGCCCCCACCTGCTCCAAGCCTCACCTGACACCTTGGCCAGGCTGGCCAGCCCCCGGTAGGCGTTGTTCACCAGCAGGGCTCTGTCCTGGCAAAGTCGGATGCTTCGCAGGAACAGTGCTGCCACCTGTTCGTGCTGCGACTCCTTGATGCAGCCTGGGAGAGGGGACAGCCCGCCTCATGTCTGTGTGCTCAAGCCTCTCCCCTCCCCGCTTCTGAGACCCCGTGTGCTCACCCAGCAAAGACAGCAGCCAGAAGATGGCACAGCCAGCTTCAGCTATTTCCGCATCAGTGGGGTAGGCGACCAGGACCTGGCTGACGAGGGCTGGGATCTTCTCGAAGGTGGCCTTGCTCACAATGACAGCTGAAGCCAGGACAGGGAGGGAGGGGGTCACCTAGGCCAGAGTGCACGCAGCAGGGCCTGGTCTCTATGTGTCCCCCCACCCCGAATCTGGTGCCTCTCTCTAGCTGAGAATAGCAGAAATGGGAGAGGGCAGGTGCTCTCACAGAGGAAGGTCAAGGGACTTTCTGCCACTGGCAAGTCTAGAGGGCAGGATGACCCTCCAGGAGAGGCTTGGGAATCCTGGGTGCTGGCAGGGCCCTCAGGGTTCCCAGGCTCTCCATGGTCTGCAGCTGGCTTGTCCATGGCACTGGAGGGCCCTGACATGAATGAATGGTCAGAGCAGGGCATCGAGTGCAACGGCCGCCCTCTGGAGCCAGGGCTGCCCAGGAAGTCCCAGGACATTCCCCTGGGCAGGAGGCACTTGAACCTGAGGTCTTTCCCCTGTGGGAGCACCTTGCCCTCCTGTCCTCTGTTCTCTGTCTCATCTGAAGGCTCAGAGGCAGCTGGGGAGCCACTGTGGAGTGCCAGCCCCAGCGGGGTGCGGAAAGAGGGCCCTCACCGTCTACCAGGAGGGACCAGAGCAGGCCCAGGCCGCTGATGCAGACGTCCCTGCTCTCGAGGAAGCTGTGCAGGTGTTCCAGGATGTTCTCCAGCAGCCCAGCCTTCTGCATCTCCTCGGATGCTGCCTCTAGAGTGGGGCTGGGGTGAGGTGCCTTCCCCAGGAAGCCCTCTCCCTTGTCCTTGGGCACCACAGTCCCAGGGTGCCTGCTCTGGGCCAGGTCTTAGGCACCCATGGAACCCAGAAACAAGAGGATGTGGCCTGGCCCTGGAGGAGTCTGTCCACCCTTTGGGCCACCAGTCCCAGTGTTTCCCATCCCCTTACCCAGGGGGCCTGGCCTCGGTGCTCTATGGAAAGGAGACATGCAAGGGATTTGTCCCCAGGCTCCAGAAGGGACAGAAAGCATGTGAGACAGATGTCGGTGTGAAGACCACAGCTGTGCCTGGCACAGTCGTTGCCTGTGCACAGCTGTCAAGGGAACCAGTAAAAGTGGAAGCTTGTCATCAAGGTAGAAAAGGAAGCAACCAGCCTGTAATCCCAGCACTTTGAGAGGCTGAGGCAGGAGGATCGCTTGAGCCCAGGAGTTTGAGACCAGCTTGGGCAACATGGCAAGACCTTGTCTCTACAAAAAAAATTAGCCAAGTGTGGTGACATGTGCCTTGTGGTCCCATCTTAGGAGGCTGAGGCAGGAGGATCGCCTGAACACAGAAGGTCGAGACTGGTGAGCTGTGCCTATGCCACTGCACTTTAGCCTGGGCGACCAACTGAGACCCCAGTTGAGAAAATTAAAAGATAGAAAAGAGCCGGGCTCAGTGTCTCAGCCTGTAATCCCGCACCTTTGGGAGGCTGAGGTGAGTGGATTGCCTGAGCCCGCGGGCTCGAGACCCGCCTGGGCAGTGAGATCTCATCTCTACGATAAATCAAAAAATCAGCCGGGCATGGTAGCGCGTGCCTGTAATTCCGGCTACTTGGAAGGCTGAGGCGGAAGGATCATCAGAGCCCAGCAGGTGAGGCTGTGGTGGCCGGGAGCGGCCACTGCACTCCAGTCTGGGCGACCGAGTGAGACTCCAACTCAAAAGAAAAAGAAAAGGGCCGGGTGCAGTGGCTCAAGTCTATAATCCCAGCACTTTGGGAGGCCAAGGTAAGAGGCTTGCCTGAGCCCACGGGTTCAAGAACAATCTGGGCAACGTGGTGAGATCTTGTCTCTACAATAAGTCAAAAAATTAGCCAGGCATGGTGACGCATGCCTGTAGTTCCAGCTATTTGGAAGGCTGAGGCGGAAGGATCGCCTGAGCCCAGCAGGTTGAGGCTGTCGTGGTTGTGAGTGTGCTACTACACTCCAGCCTGGGTGACAGAGTGAGACTCCAACTCAAAAAAATTTAATTAATTAAAGATAGAAAAGGAATCAACCAGCACTTGGAGCAGATGGGCAGAAAATGTGTGCAGTCTGTGACCCTTCCCGTTACCCAGCCAGAGTTCTTGGGCTCTCCAGAGTGGGCAGGGTGAGAGGCAGCCGGCAGACCCACCCTGACCAGAGAAGAGGGCCAGCAGGCTGTAGACCATGACCAGGAGCTGCTCCGCCTGGGGGTGACTCCACACGGTGTGCAGCAGCGTGGAGATGATGGTGGCGTTGCATGGAGCCTTGGTTTCCGGGTCCTGCACCAGAGCTGCCCGGGCCAGAGAAGGGAGCCTGGGTCAGTTCTCACAGCTGCGGTGTGGGGGCAGAGAAGGCACGTGGGTGTCCCTTCCCTGGGGGGGCACAGCACCTCCACGCTGCACTAGGGAGACTGAGGTTTGCCCTCCTCGGGCCCTGAACAGTATCCACAGATGCATGTGGCCTGGCGGAGTTCAGGACCAGAGAAGGGAGTCACTGGCCACTGAATGGGCCCACGGGGCCTGTGCTGGTCCCCAGAAGCCTGCAGTGACCCGGCAGTCAGCACTTGACACAGCTTCAGCACAGTTTCAGTACTGAAACTAGAAAGCAAATAGTTAGGGTTTAAAAGTCCAAGCTAGTTCAACCTTTTTAACAACCCAAAGACTCTGGTCAGCGCCCAGGCCCTTAGGCTGTCAGCCCCAGCCTCGCCCGCCTGGGCAGCGGGCCCCCTCCTGACCCTACCTTGAGGGTCACAGCAGAGGACCCTATCATGTCCAGCTTTTTCATAGCTGGGAAGCCGGTGGGCTGTGCTGGGCCACAGGTAGGCCTTGAGTGGTACCTGCGTCCCCAGATTCTGGGCTTGTGCCTGGGAGGGGTTCGGATGTGCACAGTAGGGTATGAGCTGTGCAGAGGGTCAGGTGCTGACTAGGTGTTGGGGGAGGCAGGGTACCAGAAAGATCTTCCCCACCTGACCCGGTGCCCACCTTGGCCTAGGACACGCAGCAGCAGGGAGCAGGCATACAACTGTATCTCCAGGATCCTCTCGTGCTGCCTCATGACAGCGACCACCACCTCCACCAGCTCCATGGGCCACGGCAGACCTGGCAGGGTGGGTAGCACAGGGGAGACTTGCTGTGGGACTCTGTTGGGGGGGTATAGACCAGCCAAGGAGCCAGAAGCAGCTGGGCGTCTATGGGGCCCTGGGTGGGTGGGTAGATTGGCTGGCATACCTACTGAGTGCTAGCTGTGTCTGCCGTGGGCATCTTTCTGTGCTACCCACAGCCCTCCCTGTGACTGCCCTCCTGGTGCACGTAAGAAGCCTGAGGGTCGGCAGGGTGAAAACACTTGCTCTTGACTCCAGAGCCTTAGCTGTAGCTGCCCTGGGAGGAGTCACAGGTGGGCCTCAACTAGCTCCTTGCCGTGCCAGGAACTGTGATGTGTGCTGGGGGTGCGGGGCAAGACAGCTGGGGCCCATCAGCCATCTTCTCACTGGAGGATCAAGAATGACGAGGACAGTGCTGGCACCCAGGACACTGAGCTACAGGGAGCCCACCTCCAGACAAGGCTGTTGAGACAGGTGTGTCTTGGGTGGTAGGAAAGGCAACCCTTTGGGACAGGGCCCAACAGCCTCCCTCAGTTTCCCCAAGAAACCCCCTTCCGATGGACCAGATCCTGTCACAGCTTGGCTCCAGAAGGGGTCAAGGAGGGGAAAGGCAGGAAGCTCACTGAAGGTCTAGGGCCGGGCGCCATAGCTTCTGATGGCCTAGCCCTGGACTGACCTCCGTGGGCTCTTAGCATGTATTTGATGGATGGACAGACGCTGGGATAGGCAGATGGCTAGGTGGATGGATGAATGGTTGGCTGGATGGGCGGATAGATGGGTGTGTGTGAATATGGGCTGTGAGGAGGTCGAGTGGAGGCAGTTTATGAGCATGTTTTGGCAAAACATGTTCACTTTTTTAAAGAGACAAGGTCTTGCTATGTTGCCCAGGCTGATCTTGAACTCCTGGGGTCAGGAGATCCTCCCACTTTGGCCTCCCAAAGTGCTGGGATTAAAGGCATGAGTCACCATGCCTAGCCAAAAACATTTAAAAAAAAATAATTGAAAACACTGTTTCTAATGGCGAGTGTTGGAGGAGGAGTTCTCAGGCATTCGTGATAGGTGGGCGAGTTGGTGTATTTCTCTGTGAAGGGCAATTTGCGGTATCTGAGAAAGCTTAAGTGTTCACACCCCTGAATGTCTAGGACTTTGTCCTACAGAAACACAAGCATACAAATACACCAGCATGCCCACTATAGCATTGTCTATGACAGTGGGAAATTAGAGACCACCCAGATTCCCATCACCGGGATCACGGACTAGATAGGATATCCATTAAGATCATGTGAAGAAAGTCAGCCCCCCCATCCTCCTCTGCTGCCTGTTCCAGGCTGCCTGTCTTCCAAGGTCGAAGACATGACATGGTCTGGGAATAGAAACATGCCTCCAAGCTGTATTTCTCAATTAATTTTTTTTAGAGAGGCAAGTTCTCACTATGTTGCCCAGGCTGGTCTCAAACTCGGGCTCAAGTGATCCTCTTGCCTCAGCCTCCCAGAGTGCTGGGATTACAGGCGTGAGCCACTGCACTCAGCCTCCAAGCTGTATTAAAGTGCTGGCAAGAAGAGTTTGGATCAAGGGGCCAGCCACAGCTCCCTCGAGACCAGGGTCACAGGGTCTGCCCCAGGAGAGCAGCTGGGAAAGGGGGACAGGGTGGTAATGTCTACCTAGCTGATCTGCAGGCATTTTCAAAAGCCTCTTCATGGCCTTGAGCTGGACTTCGGGTCGGCTGGAGAAGTTCTGCATGATCTCTGCCGGGGACAAGAAAGCGTGGGAGGGGTCCTTTGGAGGGCTGGGGTTTCGGGCACTCTCTCTGGGCACCACACCGGTCTGGCTGCTAGCCATGTCCCCCCTCCTCAGACCACACGATCAGGCCACGCAGCAGCTGGGACTGTAGCCGCGCACCGTCCTGGGCTCTGCCTCCACCAGAACGTATAAAAAACTCAGGCTGGGCCGGGCTTGGTGGCTCAGCCTGTAATCCCAGCACTTTGGGAGACTGAGGCGAGTGGACTGCCTGAGCCCGTGGGTTCGAGGCCCAGCCGGGCCACTTGGCGACACCTCAGCTCTACAATGAATCAAAGATTAGCCGGGCGTGGTAGCGCACGCTTGGAAGGCTGAGGCGGAAGGGTCGCCGGAGCCTAGCAGGTCGAGGCTGCAGTGGCCGGGAGCGTACCACTGCACTCCAGTCTGGGCAACGGAGTGAGACTCCAACTCAAAAACAAACACACACCAAAAAACTCAGGCTGGGTGTGGTGACCCATGCCTGTAATCCCAGCACTTTGAGAGACCGAGATGGGAGGCTGGCTTGAGACCAGGTGCTGCTACCATCCCACTTTATAGAGGAGGCCACGGAGGCCATGCCCTTGGCTACAGTAGAACTCAAGTCTCTGTCTCGGAGCCTACCCAGAACCTTGGCGCGCACTGCTGCCCATTCTGGGCATGGAGGAAGCACACAGGCCATGTTGCTGTGTGAGGAAGACACCCCCGCACTGTGTGCCAGGGTGTGTCCTGGGGCATGGTGGGCCGTGAACAGGCCATTGGAACTATAGAGAATTTGTGTACCAGGAACGGGGCAACAGGTTGGGGCAGACTGTGGTGATGAACTTGTGTTGTAGGTAACTGGGTGCTACGGAGTATCCTCGAATAGGGCACAACCCTGAGTAGAGCAGTGCTTGGGGAGAGATGGAGGGGAAGAGCCTGGAAACTTCCTGCCCACTAGCCACGGTGTGGGGAGGCACTAGGAACAGGAAGCCGAGGCCACCGGTAGTGACTCCGCCGCACCCTCCCGCTCTGTGCCCCAACATTACCTAAGATGCTGGCGATGTTGCTCTCTAACAGCACGTCAGTGACGAACGTAGGCACCACCTGCTGGCCCAGGGTCGCAGTGATGCACGAGGACTTGAATGAGCTGCTCACGAAGGTGCTGTGTATCACATCCCTGGCAGAGGAGCAGAGGTGGGGGTAAACCTGGCAACCGTCCCTGCCTCACCCACGTGGCTTGCTGCCTGGGGCTCAGGGCCGCCCGTGGGTGCGGATGCCAGACACTGACCTCCCTGTTTTGGAGTCTGGCAGGGTCTCTCACAGTGTCACAGGTGTACCCAGCAAGTACCCAGCAATTCCACGGCCAGGGACTTACTCCACAGAGGCACAGGTGACTCCCAGCGTGGGAGGACATCCAGGACCCTGGCACTTGGGCCTCTGTGGGCCTCTGCCCCCATCAAAACACATAAAATGTCAAGCCAAGCATGGTAGCTCACACCTGTAATCCCAGCACTTTGGGAGGCTTAGGCGGGAGGACCACTTGAGCCCAGGAGCTGGAGATCAGCCTGGGCAACATGATGAGACCTTTTCTCTGTGAAAAATAAAAAATTAAGCTGGAGATGGTGGTGCGTGTCTGTAGTCCCAGCTACTTGGGTGGCTGAGGCAGGAGGATCGTCTGAGCCCAGCAGGTCGAAGCACAGTGAGCCATGATCGTGCCACTGCACACCAACCTGGGTGACAGAGTGAGACTGACAAAACAACAATAAAAAACACCAAAACAAATCTGATTTTATGACTGTGTTGGCATAAAGATGAATTGAAGCCAGGCTGGATTCATTATTATATATTCACTTTTTTCTTCTGACTGTAAAATAAATTTGAATTAAAACTTGTTCCTGGACCCCTGAAAATGTCCTGGGTTCTCAGGGCTGTGCCTCTGATCTGCTCACTGCAGTGTTCAAAGCGGGGCATTCAGAGGGCTCCCTGCAGGAAAGCCTAGTGGGGCTGGGATGGGGCTCTCTGTGGTGTTAACAAGCCAGGTAGCTGTGTTTGTATTCAGGTGGGAAAATGTTAAAAGGAAGCTGACCCTGAGCTCACCTTACCCTGAGCTTACCTTACCCTGAGCTTACCTTATCGTTATTCGGTCCAAGGGGCTGACTTGGAGCATTAAGGGCAGAAGGTGTGAGAAGGTGTTCGCATCTGGGACCTGCGTCTCCTCCATCGTCTTCAGGACGCCCCTCAGGCTGTCCTGGCCCTGGCGGAGGGACTTGCGCAGATGCATGGCTTCTATGCCCTGCGAGGAGAGGGATACCGCATTTCCTCGACTAAGTGGGTAGAGGGTGTCTGGGGACCAGGGAGAGCCGGATGCAGCCACCGCTTGCAGGAATGACCAGAGAGCCCAGGGGTCCGGAGCTCTTCCATGAGGAAGAATGAAGGTTTATAGGAGCCAGCAGGCTGTCTTGCTGGTGGAGGGGTAGGGACAAGTCTCCTGTGCCTCTGCCAAGAAAGTCCCTGATCCAGATCCAGCTGGTAAGAGGGTGAGCTGCCCAGGGCCACACACTACCCAGGCTGAGGCTGGAGCCCATGCTATTGCCAGTATGTCACAGCCTCCAAAGTGAGAAGGCTCTTGTCTCCCTAGGAGTCTTCTGAAAGAAGGAAATGGCAAGGTTGGCCAGGCATGATGGCTCCTATAATCCCAGCACTTTGAAAGGCTGAGGCGGCAGGGCAGGATCGCTTGAGCCCAGGAGTTCAAGACCAGCCCGGGCAATATAGCAAGACCTCAGATCTACAAAAAAAAAAAAAAATCAGATTGGGCCCAGTGGTTCACACCTATAATCCTAGTGCTTTGGGAGGCCGAGGTGAGAGGATTTCCTGAGTCTGCGGGTTTGAGACCAGATTGGGCAATTTGGCGAGGCCTCATCTCTACAATAAATCAAAAAATTAGCCAGGCATGGTGGCATGTGCCTGTAGTTCCAGCTACTTGGAAGGCTGGCGGGGAAGGATCACCTGAGCCCAGCAGGTCGCGGCTGCAGTGGCTGGGAGTGTGCCATTGCCCTCCAGCCTAGGTGACAGAGTGAGACTACAACTCAAAAAAAAAAAAAAAAATCAAAAAATTATCTAGGTGTGATGGCATTATGCCTGTAGTCCCAGCTACTTGGGAGGCTGAAGTGGGAGGATTACTGAAGCCCAGGAGGTGAGGCTACAGAGAGGAGTGACCATGCCACTGCACTCTAGCCTGGGCAACAGAGTGAGACTCCAATTCAAAAAAGGGGGGGGCTGGGTGCGGTGGCTCAGCCTGTAATCCCAGCACTTTTGGAGGCCAAGGTGAGAGGATTACCTGAGCCCGTGGGTTTGAGACCGGCCCGGGCAACTTGGCGAGACCTCGTCTCTGCAATAAATCACAAAAACTAGCCGTGTGTGCTGGTGTGCGTCTGTAGTTCGAGCTACTTGGAAGGCTGAGGCAGAAGGCTCGCCTGATCCCAGCAGATTGAGGCTGTGGTGGCCATGAACGTGCTGGGATGACAAAGAGTGAGACTCCAACTCAAAAAAAAAAAAAAATGCTCCTCAGAGGTGAATCTGGGGTCTGGGAGAGAGGGTGGTGCTGGGGCTTGTGCTCTCTGGGGACCTAGCTTCCTGGACACGATGCTGGAAGCACGGCAGCCTCCTTGTTCTGGGCCCAGCAGGTACTGTGTAGGGCATCAGAAGTGACAAGCTCAACTTCCCTGCCCCCTGCAGCCAAGGGAGCTTGAGAGCTGCTCCGGGGACCAGTGTGTCCCTTCGCCTTCCTCTCCTTTTTGCCCGCAGGCTGTGACTGTGGTGCAGAGGCCTCTGGCAGGGATGAGAGTGACAGCCACATACTAAGGATGAGTGTGACAGACGGTGTATTTGGGCCCACGTAGGTGGCTTCCCATTGCTTGCAGCTACGTGTGTACTTAATTCAAATAGGGCCACCTGGACTTGGACTTTCTTCTCCATCAGGAGTCGGTGACAACACCTGGAGGGCTGCTGTGAGGGTAGTGTGAGATGGTCTGAATGTCACCCTTGCTGTCACTATGCTGCAGCCCAGCAGGTGCTGAGTGCTGGAGGGTCTGAGAGGGGTGGCCCTTGCAGCTGGAGGAGGGGGCTCTGTGCAGCCTGCACGGGGGCAGAGGAAGAGGGGGAGGATGCAGCCGGGAGGCAGGGCAAAGGTAAGCCTTCTCCCCAGACCTGGGCACATGAGAGCAGGGTGTGGGTGTGGCGGGGGGGTGGGGGTGGAGAAGGCAGCTCACATCCACGAAGGAGCAGCTGGTCATGTCCAGAATGATGCAGCCAAGGGACCAGATGTCAGATTTCTGGCTGAAGGAGAAGCTGAGGGCTTCGGGAGCCATCCAGGACTTGTGCGAAGGGTCTGTTGGCAAGACCAAGGTGGGGTCCCTTGAGTCCTGTGCTCCCTGGGGGGCAGGGGCTTGACAGCCACCCTGCCCCAGCAAGCAGCTAGAAACACAAGCCTTTTGGTCCCCCTTCTCAGGAGAGGAGAAGCACTAACGGTGGAGAGGATGAGGCCCTCAGTCAGCTGGACCTTGGCCTTGAGTTTGAGCCAGTGAGGCTGTCCATCACGGAGGTGCCCACCAGGCTGCCTGTACATGTGTCTGTGTGTCCACAATGGCTGCAGAAGGAGCTGGAAAAGGCGTGTGCCAAGAAGGTTAAAATGGCACCTCTCTAAAAACATCTTGCCTCTCGAAATGTCAAGACCTTGGGGCAGAGTTCCAGTTGCCCTGCCCCAGTGTCCAGTTGTGAATCCCAGACAAGAAACCAAAAGAGCAGGGTCCTCCATCCAGCTCTGTCAGTACCTGGCTGGCCTCTGGCAGCCCTTCCTTCTCTGGACCTCCAGCCCCAGCCAAGCAGCAAAGGGCTGGGCTCAGGGACCCATGCCATCTATACCTCCCATAAACTTCCTCATCCACCCCCACCCCTCCACCCAGCCATCCATCCACCATCCACCCACCCATTCACCCACCTGTCCGTCCATCCACAATTCATCCACCCATCCATCCACCATCCATCCATATATCCATAATCCACCCACCCATCTATCCACCCATCCACAAATCCACCCAGCCACCTACCATCTATCCGCCATCCTCCACCGATCCACCTACCACCCACCCATCCATCCATCTGTCACCTATCCATCCATCACCCACCCATCCACCCACCCATCCCAAACCCAGCCAGCCAGCCAGCCCATTACACACCAAACCACACACCCACCCATCCACCCACCCAGCTATCCTCTGTCTACCAAAGACAGAGTACCACCAGCAACTGCCACCCTGGGACTCTGGAATTCTCCATTGTGGTTGCTCTCTCCATCCTGGACAGCTGTTACAGGCTTGAAGCTCAGCTCCCTTTGCCTTTTTTTTTTCTTTTTTTTTTTTTGGTCAGAGTTTTACTCTGTCATCCAGGCTAGAATGAAGTGGCACAATTGGGGCTAACCATAGCCTTGACCTCCTGGACTCAGATGATCCACCTCAGCCTCCTGAGTAGCTGGAACTACAGGCACATGCCACCACACTTGGCTACTTTTTTGATTTTTTTGTAGAGAAGAGGTCCTGCTATGTTGCCCAGGCTTGTCTTGAACTCCTGGGCTCAAGTGATCCTCCTGCCTTGGCCTCCCAAAGTGCTGAGATTACAGGTGTTAGCCACCATGCCTGGCCTGCCCTGTCATCTTTTCAAAGGAAAGCAAACTTGCCTTCCTTTACTGCCAGCCCTCTCATCTCTTGTGTAATTTTTTTTTTTTTTTTGAGTTGGAGTCTCACTCTGTCGCCCAGACTGGAGTGCAGTGGCCGCTCCCGGCCACCGCAGCCTCGACCTGCTGGGCTCTGGCAATCCTTCCACCTCAGCCTTCCAAGTAGCTGGAATCACAGGCAGGCGCTACCATGCCCGGCTGATTTTTTGATTTATTGTAGAGATGAGGTCTCACTGCCCAGGCGGGTCTCGAACCCGCGGGCTCAGGCCATCCACTCACCTCAGCCTCCCAAAGGCGTGGGATGACAGGCTGAGCCACCAAGCCCGGCTTCTTGTATTATTTTAAGACTCAGTACTGCAATCCCCAAGTCACTGGTGCCTGGTACCCAGCCGGCACTCCCTCCTTGCATGCATTTTACTTTTCTTTTTCTGAAGCTTTCTTTTCTCTCTAGGAGAGTTAACCTCTCCGGGGGGCTACCACAGCCACTACTTTGTTTCTTCCACATGTTGGGTCCCCCCATGGTGGCACTCCTGCTTAGTTACAGCCCAGACAAAGGGAGAATCTCTGAAGTCCACACAAGGCTGGGGGCCTCTGTGGGGACATTTCAGAGCAAAGCGTGGTTTGACCTCGCCTCACTCCAGGACCCAGAGTAGCCACTGCCCTCAGGACCCCAGGAGCCCCGCCCCCAGAGAGCAGCCCCCAGCCTGGCTCAGCGTCGTCCCGCCCCGCCAGCCACCTTCCTCCGCACGGGTTTTCCACTTGGCTTCATCCGTCATCAGTGTGTGGGAGCTCAGGTCCTGCAGTTTGCAGTGGTTGCTGTGGGCGAGGATGATGTTGGACGGTTTGAGGTTCCTGAAACCAAAAGGTAGGCTCGCCTCTGGGTGCATGGGGCTGCCTGGGCGGCCACCCCACCCCAGGGCTGAACCTGACTCCCTGCTCCTGCCCCACCCAGCTCCGGGCCCCGTGTTAACATCGCGTCCGTCTCCTCACACAGCTTGTGTAACACCCAGCGGCGTTCACACTGAGCCGTGAGCACTCCCGGCGCACATCTGGGCTGCAGGGTTTTTCTCTTCTCCTTTCAATAAGATACTGGTGGCTGGGCGTGGCCTGTAATCCCAGCACTTCGGGAGTCTGAGGCAGGAAGACTGCTTGAGCCCAGGAGTTTGAGACCAGCCTGGGCAACATAACAAGACCTTGTCTCTACAAAAAATCAAAAACTTAGCCAGGTGTCGTGGCACACGCCTATAGTCCCAGCTACTCAGAGCTGTGGTGGGAGGATCACCGGACCCAGGAGGTTGAGGTTTTGGTGAGCCATGATTATGCCCCTGCACTCCAGCCTGGGCAAGAGTGAGACCCTGACTCATAAATAAGATATTAGTGTCCACTCCTGGAGCCACTTCCAAGCCCCTTCAGATCATGGGTTCTAGAACCTGAGCTGTACTGCTGGCAGGTCAGAGGCTCAGGGCATGCTGCAACCCATGTGGGTGCTGCAGGCAGCCCCACCTCTCTTCCCAGCAGGGCTGTCACTTTGTCCCTTTCGTTGACCTGTAGAACAGCCGGCCTGGCCAGCTCACACCTCTATGCAGCTGTGTGTGCACGCATCACTCGAGGCTACTTGGAGGAGGATGCCTTTCCCTCAAAGCCTGGGAAGGCTCTGGAAGGATGCCCTGTCATCTGGCTGCACTGGCCCAGTACCTCTCTCCCCAGATCCCACCCACGGGCTCCGACCCTCAAGTGGACTCGGTGCCTTTTCTCCTAAAGGAGCTGCCCAGTCCCAGAGGCCCGGGTCACCTGTGGATGATGTCCAACTGGTGCAGGTATTCCAGCGCGTCCAGCACCTGGCCCAGAATGTTCTGCATCCACTGGGGGAGAAGGAGAAGACCAGGATGGGAGGGGCTCCCTACAGCTGCTTTTAGGTGGGGGACCACGCTAAGCAGCCAGCAAGATCGTGGTGCATTCTCTCCTGGCGTCTTGACACAGGCATGAAGCCAGCCGAGAGGTCAGAGCAGGTAGAGGAGGCCGGAGTGTGCACGGCTCTTCAGACGGTGAAACCAGTCAGCCATGTTTACTGACTGCACACTCTGTCTCCATCCTGGAGATCTTGGGTGTCCAGGGGCTCCAGCCCTGCGCTCACCCCCAGTGGCTACTCTGTGGCCCATGCTGCCCAACACTTGCTGGGAGCTTGTGGCAGACTGGCCTGTAGATATCACAGATATTGAAGTCTTCAATGCTCACTTGAGGCTTGCTTCTCTAAGTCATTAGAATGAAAAGAGCCCTGAGAGAGAATGTTCTGGGCCGGCCATAGTGGCTCACACTTGTAATCTCAGCACTTTGGGAGGCCGAGGTAGAAGGACCGCTTGAGCCCAGGAATTCAAGACCAGTATGGGCAACACAGCGAGACAGCATCTCTACCAAAAATCAAACAAGTAGCTGGGCATGCTGTATGAGTTCATTTATATGAACTTCAGGGACCGGCAAAACAATCTCTGGAGGTGAAAGTCAAATCAAGGTTACTGACCGGGGACCTTCTGGGGTTTAGGAATGTCTTGTCTCGATCTAGCTAGAAGCGGTGTGAGTTCAGGCACAAGTGCATCAAGGTGTGTAGTTAGGACTTGTGCACATCATAGTGCGTGATACCTCAGGACATACATTTAAGAAAAAATGAGGCCGCGCTTCTAGAAGAAAACAGAGTAGAGTATCTTCATGATCTTGGGGCAGGAAAGGCTTCTTATACCAGAACCCTAGAGGTACTAGCCACAAGAGAAAATGTTAATTAAGACTTTCCAGGGCTGGGTGCAGTAGCTCACATCTGTAATCCCAGCACTTTGGGAGGCTGAGACAGCAAGGTCGCTTGAGCCCAGGAGTTTGAGACCAGTCTAGGAAACAAAGTGAGACCCTGTCTCTACAAAAAATAAAAAATATTAGCCAGCGTGGTGGCACAGGCCTGTAGTCCAGCTATTCAGGATGCTGAGGCAGGAGGATTGCCTGAGCCCAGGAGGTTGAGGCTGTGGTGAGCCTCGACCACACCACTGCACACCAGACTGGGCAACAGAGTGAGACCCTGACTCAAAAAAAAAGAAAAAATAAGGCTAGCCGGGCTCGGTGGCTCAGCCTGTAATCCCGCGCCTTGGATGAGTGAATTGCCTGAGCCCGCGGGTTCGAGACTTGCCTGGGCAACTTGGTGAGACCTCATCTCTACAATAAATCAAAAAATCAGCCGGGCGTGGTAGCGCCCGCCTGAAATTCCAGCTACTCGAAGGCTGAGGCGGAAGGATCGCCAGAGCCCAGCAGGTCGAGGCTGTGGTGGCCGGGAGCGGCCACTGCACTCCAGTCTGGGCGACAGAGTGAGACTCCAACTCAAGAAAAAAAAAGAAAGAAAAAGAAAAAATAAGACCAGACTCCAGTGGCTCTTGCCATTTGCCCCCCACTGCAGGGCCTGCGGGGTCACAGGTCCAGGGGTCCCCAGGCCTGTTCCCAGAGGATGTCCTACCTCAGAGTCAATGGTCTCCTTTGCCTTCCTCTTTTCCTCAATGACCTCCTGGAAAGTCACCGTGTGGAACTCCATCACCAGGCAGAGGAACAGAGAGGAGATCTGTCGAGACAGGAGGCCTTCGCCAGCTGCTGGGAGGAGGCCCCTCTCCAAGGCCTCCCTTCACTTGACCACCGTCCACAGGGGCCACCGGAGCCCCTCCTGCCCCATCTCCCCAGTCCCCGCCCCACTCCCACTGCATGCTCCATATACCTGGACTTTCCAGAGAGCCACCCTTGCCCCTGCATGCAGGACCCCCCTGCCTGGGACCACTGTCCTCCCCTTTTGCAGGGATCATCTCTTATCCTTCAGGGCTCAGCTCAGACCCATCCTCCAAGGAGCCTGCCCTGACAGAGACCCCAGGCAACCAGGTCACGGGCCCCAAAGCTGTGCTTTTTCCTGTAGCGAAATGCCCTCTTGGCTTTTCTGCACCCTCCTTGAGAGCCTTGGGATGCTCAGAAAATATTTGGGGGTGCAGGCAGCGAGGGCCCCTCCCCCAGCTTTCCAGATCCCAGCAGAAAGGGAGGGAACGTGTGTGTTGGGGGGATCCTCCACACCTGCTCTGACCTCAGGTTGTCATCCCTGGATGAGGAAACGAAGGTGAAGACCACATAGGGGCCTAACGCCCCGTCTCGTGCACCCGCTGCATCCTCTGTCCTGCCTTGACATCCCTCCTGCACCTCAGCCCCATCTGAAGTGACAGGAACACCTCTGGCTCCTTGAGCTTATTTTTATGTATTTATTTATTGATTACATTTTTAGCTTTTCTTTCTGAGTTGGGGTTTCACTCTGTCACCGAGGCTGGAGTAAAGTGACACCATCACAGCTCACCGCCGTCTTGACCTCCTGGTCTTAAATGATCCTTCCATCTAACTTTCCGAGTAGCAGGGACTACAGGCACATGACACCACACCCAGCTAATTTTTTTTTTAAGTTGGAGTCTCATTTGCCCAGGCCAGAGTGCAGTGGCATGCATGCTCACAGCCACCCCAGCATCAACCAATCCTCTGGCAATCCTTCCTTCTTAGCCTTCCAAATAGCCAGAACTATAGATGGCTATAATACCATGCCTGGCTATTTTTTTATTTTATTGTAGGGACAAGTTGCTTGCCAAGTTGCTTGGGCTGGTCTCGAACCCACGGGCTCAGGCAGTCCACTTGCCTTGGACTCCCAAAGTGCTGGGACTATAGGCTGAGCCACTGAGCCCAGCCTGGCTAATTTTTAAATTTATTTTGTAGAAACAAAATCTCACTTTGTTGCCCAGGCTGGTCTCAAACCCCGGGCTTGAGCTATCCTCCCACCTCAGTCTGCCAAAGTACTGGGACTACAGGCGTGAGCTACTGCACCTGGCCACCTCTGGCTCCTTGGAAAGACAAGTCATTTAGGCTTTGGGCGGCAGCACAGGGCTTGGGGGCTAGAGGGGATGGGTCTGAATCCTCACTCAGCTGTTTACTAGCTGTGTGATCTCGGAGAGTTCCTCGACTTCTCTGAGCCCCAGGCTCCATCAGGAAAATGAGGACAGTTCTTTCTGCCCTATAGCTCTCCCAGACATGAGATGGACATGAGATGGGTCTGCAAACTGCACAGGGACTGCAAAAGTAAGGAGGCCGAGGCGGGAAGATCCATTGAGCCCAGGGGTTCAAGACCAGTCTGGGTGACATAACAAGACCCTATCTCTAGAAAACAAATGACAAAAAATAAGACTGTGAGGTGGTGCATGTCTGTAGTCCCGGCTACTCAGGAGGCTGAGGAGGGAGGATCGCCTGAGCCCAAGAGATCGAGGGAGTTGAGTCAGGGGTAGCCACGTTTAGAGTCACTGCCCTTGCCACAGGAGGGGTAACAACAGCGGGGCCAGGCATGCCCCGTGCTTGGCGTGCTCCGTCCTGCAGCCTGTGGGTGACAGCTGAGCCAGGAGGCGTGGGCTCTGACCCACCTCTGAGTTCCACGTGATGAACAGCTCTTGGTATATGGAGATGTGGGCGTGCTGGAGCCTCAGCAGTGGCATCAGCTGCAGGGATGACAGCAGAGGAAAGGGAGACGTTAGCACCTCCCCACTGACTTCTCGGCCGGAGCTTCTGCCACGTGTCCCAACAAAAATGCAAGATCCAGCCAGGTGCAGTGCTGATGCCTGTCATCTCAGCACTTTGGGAGGCTGAGGGGGGAGGACTGCTTGAGCCCAGGTGTTCGAGACCAGCCTGGGCAACATAGCAAGACCTCATCTCTACAAAAAATATAAATATTAGCCAGGTGTGGTGGCACACACCTGCAGTCCCAGCTACTTGGGAGGCTGATGCTGGAGGATCACCTCAGATCAGAAGGTTGAGGCTGTGGTGAGCCATGATCCTGCCACTGCACTCTAGTCTGGGTGACAGAGTGAGATGCCTAATCAAAAAAAAAAAAAAAAGTTCTGGCCCCAAACAGGGCAGGGAAGCAGCCTTAGGGGAGCCATGCAGCCTGGTGGTTAAGAGCCAGATGGAGCCGGGCTCGGTGGCTCAGCCTGTAATCCCGCACCTTTGGGAGGCTGAGGTGAGTGGATTGCCTGAGCCTGCAGGTTCAAGACCCGCCTGGGCAACTTGGCAAGACCTCATCTCTACAATAAATCAAAATGAGCCGCGCATGGTAGCGCATGCCTGTAGTTTCGGCTACTTGAAAGGCTGAGGCGGAAGGATCGCTGGAGCCCAGCAGGTCGAGGCTGCAGTGGCCGGGAATGGCCACTGCATTCCAGTCTGAGTGACAGAGTGAGACTCCAACTCAAAAAAAAAAAAAAAAGAGCCAGATGGTCCACTGTGACTCCCATCTCCAGCATGTACTAGCTGTGCTGTGTGACTGAGACAAGCTCCTCAACCTCTCTGAGCCTCATATTCTCACCAGAAATGGGGGTAACTGTGGGAGTCTGCCTTTCAGGGATGTCATGAGGACTAAGTGAGCTGATACAGATAAAGCACAGCCCAGGCTGGGTTGGAGATGGTGGTGCGGCCACAGGGAAAAGGGCCAGCCCACAGGTCCCCGTGCCCCTGCCCCAGCTGAAAGAACTGTGAAACAACCCCTTTCAGGTATGAGAAATGGCTAGCTTAGAGATTCGGGATCCAACGGACAACTGCTTTTTGATGGAAGGCTGGGTGTGAACGCAGGTTGCCTACCAGGACATGGACAGGCATCAGCAGCGTTAAAAGCCAGGACTCTGGGACTACAGGTGGGCTTTCTACATTCTTTCTTTCCATTAGTCAGAAAGTGGCCTTGGCCGGGTGTGGTGGCTCATGCCTGTGGTCTCAACATTTTGGGAGGCCAAGGTGGGAGGATCATTTGAAGCCAGGAGTTCAAGACCAGCCTGGACAACATAGTGAGACCCTGTTTCTAATCTTAAAAAAAAGAAAAGAGAAAGAAAGTGGCCTGTCCTGCCTTCACATCCCTCCTGTACCTCAGCCCCATCTGAAGTGACAGGAACACCTCTGGCTCCTTGAGCTTATTTTTATGTATTTATTGATTAAATTTTTAATTTTTTTTCTGAGTTGGGGTCTCACTCTGTCGCCCAGGTGCCCACCAATGTGCTTCAGTCACATTGTGAGACAAATAACATATCCTGGCAAAGCTCAAGAGCTAGCATTCCAGAAAGAAGACAAACATGTGACCATAAGATAGGAGGGGATATGTTTCACCTCATGCTAAAGTCAAGAAGGTCGAGAAAAACTACTCAGAGACTTTGTCTACCAAGCTGAAATGTATCTGCTGTTATCGCTATTATTTTTTATTTTATTTTTTGAGTTGGAGTCTCACTCTGTTGCCCAGACTAGAGTACAGTAGCACACTCCCGGCCACCGCAGCCTCAACCTGCTGGGCTCCGGTGATCCTTCTGCCTCAGCCTTCCAAGTAGCTGGAACTACAGGCGCGTGCTAATTTTTTATTTATTGTAGAGCTGAGGTCTTGCCAAGTTGCCCAGGCGGGTCTCGAACACGCGGGCTCAGGCAATCCACTCACCTCAGCCTCCCAAAGCACGGGATTACAGGCTGAGCAACAAAGCCCGGCTATCGCTATTATTATAAGTTAGGACATGACCACTGGAAAGTTGAATTAAAAGTAATTTATATTTTCTTCAACAATTCTATGTTTTCTGTATATTCCAAAGCTTCTACCATAAGTAGTACTTTTATAATTGAAGAAAAAAATCTTTTTTTTTTGAGTTGAAGTCTCACTCTGTCGCACAGACTGGAGTGCAGTGGCATGCTCCCAGCCACCACAGGGCTCCGGTGATCCTTCCACTTCAGCCTTCCAAGTAGCTGGAACGACAGGCGCGCGCTACCACACCCAGCTAATTTTTGATTTATTGTAGAGATGAGGTCTCTCCAAGTTGCCCAGGTGGGTCTCGAACCCGCGACCTCAAGCAATCCACTCGTCTTGGCCTCCCAAAGTGCTGGGATTACAGGCTGAGCCACCAAGACCGGCCTGAAGAAAATCTTTTAAAAGATGTTTTTTTGTTTTGTTTTGTTTTGTTTTTTGAGTTGGAGTCTCACTCAGTCGCCCAGACTGGAGTGCAGTGGCTGCTCCCAGTCACCGCAGCCTCCACCTGCTGGACTCCGGCAATCCTTCCACCTCAGCCTTCCAAGTAGCCGGAATTACAGGCATGAGCTACCACACCCGGCTGATTTTTTTGATTTATTGTAGAGATGAGGTCT